ATATAGCAGGGATTTTTCTTGCCATCCCTCTAACAGAGCAAATTAAATTAGGTCAGTAATTTGTTCTGGTCACTAGAACAGAGTAAATATCTTACTTGTAATTTTACTTATGTGGTAGACTGAGTGTTTCAGGTGTGTAAATGAAAACCTCCGAATAAAATGAAATAAATTATGATGGGAGGATGTAAGTCTCGCTGTGTGTGTGAATGAAAAGAGCAACATTTTAGGTAAAGGGTGATATTAGTGTACCTTCAGTTTGGTTTAAGCGCTTCTTCAAACTATTAATATTGGCTCTGAAGACCTGCTGATTCCCAGAGCACTTCTGCGTGTACCACTCCAAGTGCTGAGGATCTTTTTTTATTAACTCCTTCATCCAGTCCAGTTTGGGTTCAGCTCTCCTGATGCTGCTGTCGCAGTAGCCCACTAAAACCCCATCAACTAAAGCCGCACCAACAAATTCTGGGAAGTCTGAGATCCCAGAGGAAGCAGTGATGAAATATTTCAGGGAGTGTTTCACTGTTGAGGAAAACATGTCAGCCATTAGAGCACAAATGGAAGAGTGAATTTTTTTATAATGGAATTTTACTAATAATTCAGTATTTATTGCTCTTAAAAAATTCCTTCTCGTGAATTTTAAGCTAATTTCATCTTAAGTCAAATCTATCATATCTGTATTATATACGTCTATCTCCTTTTATATAGGACTCAGGTTAAAATAGCAGATTGTCGCTTTGTTGGCTACACTGCCCCCCAGTGTTTAAATATGGTATAATAACAAATTATGTACTAATATTCTCATTTAAACTCAATAGTAGTAGCAGCCGTAGCACCAGAAGGAGTAGTAGTACTATTTGTTTCTGATATACAACTAATTTAGTTACATTAATGGGAACTGCGTGTGACGATATCAACGGGTTGACAATGTCAGCAGTTCTTCGTCGTGATAACTGCGGATTAAATATCAATAATATTAACTAAATTAGGAGGAGATGTTTCAGGAGTGCATTTATGAGCTATTCCTAACTTCCTACTTCGTGTAAATAATTGTAATTTAGGAGATGATAAAATTAAAGACGAAAGTAAAACTAAAAACGCAGCATCAGAGTACTGTTATACAGGAAGAAAGGACAATAACAGCTGTTGCAGCACAGACGTGCTTTACAGAAATAAAAAGGGATAATTTTACCTGCAGATGAAACGTGACAGGAGAGGAGAAAAAGACACAGGCTGTTCATCCTGTTTGTATAAATAAGATGGGTCCTATAGAGCTAAAATAGGCTGCTGATAAGAAATGTGAAGAGAGAGAGTGAAAGCGTCTCTGACCAATTACGTCACATTTAGATGCTGGCAAAACACACCGGCCGACCTGTCATAACATATCGTGCTGAGTGCGAAAGTGAAGCACTGCATAATAAGCTGCCTTTTTTCTGTTTTTCTTTTCTTTTCTTTTCTTTTTTTAGGATTAAGCAGTTGAGCTTTTCTGCCAATTTTACCACATCTGCCTTTTATTTCAAAAACTCATTAAAATAGGTCAGCATATGTCAGGGATGTGTCTTACTGTAAGTAACTTTTAGGACCTAAAAGACAAAAGCATTGTCCTCCTGATTAAAAATGTAGATTTTTTTAAATTTATTTTCAATTAATTACTTTTTTTAAAAATGCGATTTATAATGCAGTGACTGCTTCATCAAACGATTATTATCAATGGATTTAAAGCAACTTCTTTTTATGTTCCGCTTTTAAATAAAAGTTATCTGACAGTTAATAAAATATAAATGTGCATAATCTGTATTCTTATTGTTGTTGTTTATTTATGTCATGATAGACTCCCTCTCTATCATAAAAAAAGTCTCCTTCCTTTACATAAATAAACAAACCTTCAGTTAGTCGAGTCACGATGTTTATATCCTCCTTGTCTCCGGGTTGGTGCTGTCGGTATCACATATCTCGCGATAATTTGTTATCTCCTTTAAATTAGAAGAAATGGTACTCTTTTTATTTTGAGTTAAACGTTTTAATATGCCACTATAATGCTTTAAAAAGCAATAAAAATATAATTGAATCTAAATAGTGAGTAAAAAGGTGTCTCAAAAGCACCACAAAAGGAGGAGGTAGACTCTGAATGGAACGCGCGCGTTCCCGCGAGGTTTCGTTTAGTTTAGTTGAGTAAATGCCACGTCTTATTCTCAGCCACCAGCATCATCAACGTAGGCAGAAATATTGGTAGTTCTGAGCCCAGGACAGACGGTTATCAAGTGGCCGACATATCTGGCACGATCTGGTAAGATTTTAATCTTTGTTTTTTTCTGTTATCATGTTGCATTCAGACATGTTGCTTCTGCTGCAGCAACATGCTAGCAAGTTTAGTAACTAGCTAGCTAGCCAGCTAGCAGACTTTCCTAACAGCTAATTGAAACCTGCGGTCAGTGGTCCTCTTTGAGCGGCTTTTGCTGGTTACTTTGAGATTAAAGTTGATGCTCTCCACAGGGATTATCCACTTTCACCCACCAAACAGCGAGCAAATAAACAATCACAAGAGAAGACAAAGCTAGCTCAATCAAAGTCAAACCTTCACTTCATTGTATCGTCACAGCTAAAATGATACGGCTGCAAGCACACAGCAGCAGATGCTGGTACACATACATACACATGCAGCGATGTATTACAGTATTATATCAAAGCAAACCAGCTAAAAGCACAAAAAACACAAGCTACAAAGTTTGATTTTTGATTTGAAGAGCTTCAGTCTGGAGTCACAGCAGTGGACAGTTGCAACGGCTTCATGCAAACTCCTGATGAATTAAGGATAATTCGCTGTTATCTTGATCGGTTCACTAATCAATCGCCACATTTGGTGCGGATCCCATTTCTTACTGGAAATGCGTCCTAAGACGCACGGAATGACATGCGTAGTCATATATTAATGCAAGGTTAGGCTTAATTTTTGACGTCTCAGATCTTGGAGAATAGCTCGGATCCTGCATTTAAAGAAAGTGCTCGTTTCTGCAGTAACTTGTTGCACGGTCTGTACATGCGTAGTTTCTAATTTCCTCTTGAAATATCCTGGATATCACACAAACTGTTAGGGCCAAAGATTGATTCGGACTCATACTCTGTTCTTCTTGTGATTTTTAAACCCACCATGAACAGAACGTGATCCTAAAATATGACTAGATGTTTACTGATTAAATAAAGATAACATCGAGGACTATGCTCAATAACTTGTTGCACTGTCTGTGCATGCGTAGACAGTGCAACAAAGAGTGACTGGGGATTTGTGCTTCAACAGGAAACCTACGTCATAACCACAAACCCCTCTGAACCCTATGCTATAACCTACAACATAACCAAACATGTACCTAACTACACATCGGCTCTACGCAGCGCACAACTATTTTAACTGTCCTGTTGAGTACAGTCAATTCCTTCATCTAATTTTTCGCCTCAGTTTTTGAATTTGTCAGTAAGAGAATAACAATCATCATCTCACTATAAGGAATAGAATAATCATAGCATCAATATAAAGACTCGCAAATGTCAGCAAATTCCTGGGGAGAGACTGGTGAAACAAAAGGGAATGTATAAAGAAGTGAAAAAAAGCTTAACACAAATATGTTTGCAAGAAACGATCAAAACAAAGGGTGGGCACCCAGGAGGGAAAGAAGTCCCAACATTGTATCTGGTTCGAACAAACCACCATATATAAAACATCAGGACATGACCACAAAGAAATTAACACATAATGCACCAGGCACAAGCATAAATGCCAGTAGAGTTCAGCAACTTACACAGGTTACGTTGTAGGCTCTACAAAGATGGCCTGAGACTAACTGAGAAGCTTTGAGTGTAGATGTAAACATGCCCTCTGAGTTACAGCCATAACTGTATATAAATGAGGAACATAACCATTATTGCATCACTCATTGGTCTTGGATTCTTCTTGTTAAAGTTTCAGTGTTCTGTATTTGACTTTTGCCATGTTAGTTTTATAAGGCAATAACAACACAAACGGAGTCATGAGGTCCAGTTCAGTGACTCAGAGTGTGGTCCACCCGACCGTGATCAGCTGCATTTCCCTGTCTGTCAGCAGCCTTAATCTTAAGCCTGAAGAAAATTAAACTGCAGTGTTACAAACAGATTGACCTTCTGTTTTTAACGATGTGGAAACTGTCCACAGAGGGGAATTTCATAGTTAATTTTGCATCAAACCTTTAAAGATTTCCTTAATGTCATTTGGTTGGACAGTTTAAACTTAGATTCTGTTTCTTCACCCTCACTTTGGCTTCAGTTTTGATGCTGCTGAGTTTTTATTTATTAGATGTCTTCTTCTCTTTTCTCTACATCCCAGGGTTTTAATATGGGCTGT